TCAAAATATCTTATGACATATTTGAAAATCATTAAATTTATTTTTGATTAATTATTGCACTAATCTCAAACTAATATATACTTATCTGAAGATAAATTTAAACATATCTAAATCTTGTCTGTCCTCGTCTAATTTTGTCCCATTGAATATTAAATATTTTTTCATATATATTCTCCCTTACAAAAGTATTAAACAACAAAATAAAAGGTAATCACGGGCGAAAAAGTAAAAAGCAGGATATATAAAACAGGTACGGGTCTGGATCTCAAAGATGCTGGAAGGACACAAAATGATTAAAATTATTATTATTTTTTTAAATCTTATCGATAGATAATATAAGGATTTTAAAAAATAAAATAGTTAACATAAGAGATAAAAAATATATTTAAACGAAATTACAAATAAAAATATATGTAAATAAATTTCAATGCACTGTATATTGCTCTATTTTTTTCCAGTAATTATATATGTTTTTTTAAGTGTATCTATGGCACAGAAAAAGAAAGATATCAGATTTTTAGCTAAAGAATTATAAAAAAAATATTCGAGTTACATTTTGGAAATATATGGAATATAAAAAAAAGGACTAACTTGAAAATTATTATTTTATTTTGAAATTAATATTAGAAAAAATTTACAATTCAATTTTACATAACTTATATTAAATATTCAAACACAATTTTTTACTATCAAAATAAGAAAAATATCATATAATTTTATTTTTATAACATTTTAATTAATCAAATAATCATAAAGTTCATGCGAATTGAATTTAAAAATTGAAATATTAATAGTTTCTTGAAGGAGTTTGTGTAACCCTAAAGAATTCAAGAAATTCATGGAGATCAACACATTCTTTAATAATGAGATCATGTGAGAGAGACAGACAGCATTAGCTATAATGAAAGCAATCTCCAAAAACAGAAGAAGGAAGGCACAAAGAAAGCATGGCTTAGCTTACCGATGATCCCCACCACAGTTCTGATGGTTTCTGCAGAAATCATGGCTTCCTGAGCGACTTGGAGAAAGAAGAAGAAGAAGATGAAGAGGAAGGGAAGGAAAGCTTTGGGCCCTCAGCTCTATCAAAAAACTATTGAGCAATAGTTTTTGCGCTGTGCTTAAACGATGGCTATCTTGGGTTCTTTATATAAGCCCCCAGCCCCCCACCTCAGCAGATTCTCTCTTTTTCTCACCGCATAAGAAAATATTTATCCGTTTGGCGCATTGGTTTAATAAAGATTAAAGAGTGCTTTTAATTAAAATTAGTTAATGTAATGGACGGGTAAGATTTAGAGTGGGATAACAGAAGTGGCAATCATATATTAGGAGAAAATTTTGTTCGTGAGTATTTAATGAGCATAAAAAAAATTGTCTTTTACTTTTAGCAATGCAATTTCTAGTCATGATATTCTATTGATAGTTACTTGGGAATGTTTTATACCACATGTTAAATGTATGCTCCTACATTTATTTTTAAAATTGCATAGAAAATTTTAAGGAGTGATATATCATCAAAAAAATTATCTTGAATGAGCATGAATCTCTAGGCAAATTCGAATTAGAAATTTCCAAAATTAAATCCAGGCCACGAAGTTCAACTCATTTTATGGACTATTGTGATATGACCATCATCAAACTTAGGGATGATCTTTGTAATCTATTCAAATACTAAATGAATCATTTCACTTGGACGTGACTGGTGATTTTTCCCTTTTTTCAAGGTTTTATGCATAAAAATATTGGTATTTTCAATTTTTCTATTTGTAAACTAGATACCTATGCAACGCTAAGGCGTAAAATCATTTTACTTTACCGCCGCAAATACTCTAGCCCGCAACAAAAAGAATTATTAATAAGTTGCATCTCCATTCAACTCTTTATGTTCTTACTAAAAAGGCCATCGATCATAATTTCAAATATGACTTTCTTATTAACTTTTAAAGTTGTTTTTTAGTACAAAAATTTTTATTTTTATATTAAAACTCTGTTTTAAGTATGCTAATGACGAAAAACATTTTTGCCACCCTTTTCCGCTCGTTTGGGTTTATTCATTCTTGAATGTCTGAATGGACCCACCGCTGTTTGGATGGGTGTGATGAGCCAACTGGGCAAAGTCTACGTCCCTGATTCGAATCCCTTGGCAAGCAGTGAAAGCCTTAAGTATTGGCCGATGTAAATTGGTGTGGGTTGCATGCTAGGTCGTTGACTGGGATTTTCACTAGTCTAAAGACAGTGCTTCCTCGTAAAAAAAAAATGCATGAATGGTATGTACTTTATGTTTAGACAACCAGAATGAATGTGCATTCATGGCTTTTAGTTTTGATACGGCATCACAAAATTAGCTTAATCGGGCACGAATCTCGAGGCAAAAGCTAGTTGGAAACTTCAAAAATTAATCCCTGGAGCACCCGAACTCCGATTTTAGCAAACTTATAGTCAAATTGAGCGCCTCGGAAATACGAACCAAACGACACCAAGATCAACCCAATCCGAGCCCAAATGAGTCCAAATCAAGGGCTCAAAACGCTGTTGGAAGGTTTAAACCGCAATTTGAGTTACCAAACGGTCTCCGATTTTGACGAGCTTATACTCGAATCGAACGGCTCGATGAGACGAATCCAACGAGCTCAAGATCGCCGAATTCCGACATCAGTAAGACCTTCAAATGTCCAATGAACGGTGCATGATCAAAGGATTCGATATCTCCAGTCCATTCAAAACACTCCCAATTCGCCCCTGATCTTACGCCTATTTACGGGCTATGCCAGTCCAGAAAAACTATAAATAGAGCCCTAATTCTACACCAAGGGGACTTAAGTGAAGAGAGAGAAGAAGAAGAGAAGAAAGAGAAAAAGGAGAATCCTCACCTCCTCGACCATCGCCGGAGCTCTTCCTGCCGCTTGAAGACGCCGGAACTCTACCGGATTTTCGGGAAACTCCGGGAATTTGCAGAACTTTGTAACTTTGTGAGAAATTGATTGTAAATTGATCGTCTTGATTTGTAAGACGGATCAATCTTTGTACTTCAAACAAATACTAGTGGAATTTTGCAACTGGGCGAGGCCCTGTGATTTTTTCCCTCTTTCGGGTTTTGCACGTAAAAATATTGGTGTTCACTTCACTTTTCTACTTGTGTGTCGAATACTTGTATGACGCTAGGCAGCAAATTTATAAACTCTACCGCCGCGTATATTCTAACATGCAACAAATTTTATGGATGATATTTTTGTATATATATAAGATAAATTTAAATCAAAAGTTTCTATTTCAATTTTTTCTTAAAATTTGTTGTAACAATGTGATGACAGAAATTATTCTCTATATATTTTTTAATATTATCGTCGGCTACTTTTTTTATTTTGCCATTATTAGAAAAAGAAGTAGTGGGACGGCTTTTGTTCCGAGCTCTGCATGCCACTGCCAGCCATCGATTGTCGACAGCGAACCTTCGCCCGACTAATCCCGTGACACAACCGGTTCTTGTCTTTGCACGCGGTCCAGTTAAAACTTAAAACCGGTTTGAAATCGGCTCGGTCGAAATTGGTTTATTCGAATTCAAGCTATTTTAGCTCAAGCGAAAATCTAAATACTATACGTATATTTTATATTTAAAAATATATATTTTTTATTTATATTTGAGTTGACTTGATTTGAGGCTCAGCTTGAAGCTGATTCAAAAATAAAATTGAGTTCAAAATTAGCACGTGGCTCAGCTAATTTGGCTCGATCAAAGCAAATAATCTCAGCCCTGTTTCTGGCTAAAATTTTACTCTTTTTATTATGCATTTATTTGGAATAATTTTATTATTATTTTATTTGTTATATAATAATTATAATTTCATTTGATTATTATTTTATTGTTATTTTCTTACTGTTTTTCAAAAAAATTTGAGATAAAAGGTTGTCTTCTTGTAGCCAAGTTACTTAGGCTTTGTTTGGACGGCTTTCTTATTGTTTCTTAAAACATCTTTTAAATATGAAAATTTAAATTATTGAACTAGAAAGTTGCTTTTTAAAAATATTAGGTTTCGTTTGGGACGACTTTCTTACTGCTTATTCAAGTAATTTTCTAGTATAAAATTTTTTAATTTTTTTGCTAAAAAATTACTTTAAAAAGCAGTAAGAAAGATGTCTCAAATCAAACCTAAGGCTACTATTTTTTTACGGATTTCACACAGTCGAAAAAAATTTCGCATGAAATGTAAATTACTGACGGATTTCATTTATTTTCCGGCAGAACTAGCCTCCGAAAAATAAAGTTTTTCTTATAGTGATTAGTGATCTTCATAAAATAATCTCCTAAATAGATACTCTTCATAATGGATATTAAAAGACTTAAATTTTTTTACTCTTTTAAAAATTAGAACAAGAATTTCAAAATATTACTTCTGATCCATCAAAACTTTTAGCTTCTAGAAGTACAAGCTTAAGTACAACCATCTCTTAGTCATTTTTGTTGGACATTAGCAATGATAATAATCAAAGTAGAATTGGCAATGAACTATATAGTTTTATGAGCACCTTCAATCTCTTCTAGCCATGGCTTCCTATAATCTATCTTATTAAATATATGAAGAGGAGAAGACATTAAGGATGTCATTTTATAGAAGATTCACTAATAGAGGCAAAAAATATAAAAGAACTTTAAAAATTAATGAGGACAAATAAGGATCACATTTTGAAACTATATTTAATTCATAAAGTTTCAAAGTAAGAGAAAATTATAGCCATCAAAATCCACTCATATTTCAACTTCTTGAACAAATTCCCCCAAAAAAAAAAATATTTAAAATCTTATTTACAAAAATCCTCTCAAGAGAATCCTAAATGCTCTCAAAAGAATCCTAAATGCATAGAGATGTTCAAAATAAAAAAAATAATAAAAAAAAAATGTTCAAAATCCTCTCAAGATAATTATAAACAACATTTAATAACAGCTAATACATAGAAGTGTTCTAAATGTCTTAATTAAAGAAAGATGTTACACATAGAAAATGAACCACATATATATTATATTACATAAATTAACTCACCACATTCAAGGAAGAAAATCTTGACATTTTATCCACTCTAATCTATGAAAAATTATTATGTGCGGACATCGGACAGCGTCCGAAGATCAATCAGAACGTGCCACATCACTTTTTTGCCTGATACCGCTGTAATAATTTGTTTTCTGTAATAATTTTAAAGTTTCATTTGAGATTTTTTTTTTTAATTTATAAAATATTTTTTTACAAATTTTTTTAAAAAATATTATTTTCGAAAACAGTAATAAACTGTCCCAAATCTATCATTAAGTTATGTTGTTATATTATAATAAAAGATTTGTGAAAAATTATATTGACCAAGTTATTGGAATTAAGTATTTATACAATTATATTTTTTGCATGATAATCAAGTTCTTTTTGATGACGAATCTGAAAATTTTCTTTTAAGCCGAGTATTTTCTGTCAAATTTCTTACATTAGGAAATTTGGAAATACAAAATTTAATTGGGTGAACTACATAAAAAATGATGCTCCACATTGCAATGCAACATAATAAAATGATTGCTCGTAGCAAAAGATTTCTATGGAATTGATATGGAAGCCTCCCAACCATTAATTTGGCGAGGTACTAATAGCCACACTCACCATGTGTTTATAATCACATGGGTCAGCCTTAAGTCTCAAATAAGTTCAAAATTGAGTGATTTTGCTATCTTAAAAATCGTCATGATTGACGATCATTGTTATTTTCACAACTCTCATCGTATGCTTCCTCGCCAATGGCTTTTGGATGGTAGAAGGCATTAGTCTAATCGATGGCCAAATTTTAATTGATCTCGTCGCAACTATCTCCAGGCACACGTACGCAATGGCAATATCAATGTTGCGGGCTAGAATATACTTGACGATAGAGTAAGAAAGTATTCATCTTAACGTTGTACGGATATTCAGTACACAAATAGAAGATAAAAGAACACCAGATAAGTGATGGGTCTATTTATAGTTTTTTTGGAGTGGCATGGCCTGTAAATAGGTGAGAGAACAGAGGTAAATGGGGGTGGTTGGATTGACGGTCGATATTGAATCCCTTGATCGTGTACGGTTTGTCAGACATTTGAAGATCTTAATGATGTCGGAATTTGTCAATCTTGGACTCGTTGGATTCGTATCGT